AATTTCAAACATTCTCGTCTAAGGAGAAGGAGGAAAAGAAGAAGAAGATTGCCTCTCGCAAAGCATTTGGTCGAGGCCGAGGAGGTCGGGGACGAGGACGAGGCAGAGCCAGAGGCAAAGGCAGAGGCCGTGGAGTTCAGCCTCAATCCAGCGATCGTCCAGAACAGGTGTCAGCACCAGCGCCACCTCCAGCACCATCTGTTTCTGAGCCTGTGCCCTTAGCACTGCTTCCCGAAGTCGCTGAGGAACATGAGGAACATTCGCCGCACATGGAGCAACATGAGGAACATCAGTCCCCGGACATGGAGGAACATGAGGAACATGAGTCGCCGCACATGGAGCAACATGAGGAACATCAGTCGCCGCACATGGAGGAACATGAAGAACATCAGTCGCCGCACATGGAGGAACATGAGGAAAATCAGCCGCTGCACATGGAGCTGGATGAGGAAGAAGTGTCTGATGCTGCAGCTGGGCCTGCTGCAGGTCCTGCTCCGTTAGCAGAGGCTGTAGCAGAGCCTGCAGCAGGACCTCCAGCAGAACCTGCTGCAGCTGAAGCAGGGAGGAGGCGTCATGTGGTACTTGTGTCGCCAAGAGAGCACTTCACACCTGCAATCCTTCAGAGATTGGCACCTCCAGGAATGTCATTTGGCTTGGACCAAAAGGCCCACCGCTTCACCATAAAGTTTAAGATCAAGCCTCGAGAGGGACAAGTGTGGGCTGCTTATGGACCAGGTGGATCTCGCTCCAAGGCGTTTCAACATATGTCCTGGGAAGAGGCACTGAAGCAGTTGCATCAGGAAGCTTGGGAGCGCTGGGATTTGGCAAAACATTTGCCTGGCTTTGAACTCGATGATCCGAATCAAGCGCAGCAGCCTGGACATGTCTCAGACAGCATGCTTGCTGTGATAAGAGAGGTCATTGCACAGATGCCTCCTCCTACTAAGTATCCTAAGCGTCCTTGAACAAGTGTGTTGCAATGGCTTGCACATGTATGCTGCTGCGCTTAAAAAAATGCCTCAAGTTTGAATGAATGAATGCACAAGACTTTGAGTGAATTTGTCTTGTCTTGGACTTGTTTTAAGATTGAGTTTCATGCCCGCAGCTTTTTATGTGAATATGTCAAACTGTTTCAAACAACTATGTAGTTGTATTCATGTTGAAAAAACCATGTTATATCAAATCATGGCATAATTTTCGAAATTCCACTGGATACTGGTCACTGATCACTGACTATTATCTTGAGTATAAATTTCACTCCTCCTCTGAAGCGGCCATGGGGAAATCAATTGCAGTTGCAGAAAGGCGCGCCAGCAGCGGACTATGATGTGGCCCTTTCTTCCATTTCTCTGCTTTGCACCTCCGAAGAAGAACAAGTGTCAGAAGAAGAACAAGTGTCAGCAAAACAAAGAGGTGGACGAAGCTGCTACCAAGAAATGTGTCCATGATGATGCTGGCTCTTCTGGCACTGGCACTGAGGCATCAGGTGTCACTGAAATGCATGAGGCAACAAGTGTCAATGCAGCAGCTGCAGCTGCCACTGATTTGCCAATTAACCCATTTGTGGACAAATGTGCTAAAGCTCTTGCATTTGGCTATGAGGATGCCTGGCCCTACTCTTCCTTCAACAGGCCAGGGTTGATAATCATGTTGTTGAATAATAACAAACGTAACAAAGAAACTTAGTAGTGTCTTAGTTTCTTAGTAGTACTTAGTAGTGTCTTCAAAACTATCCTGGCTGCCCACCCTGACTGCTGCAGGTGTGCACAAATGTCGTCGTTCCTGATGGAGACCTTTTCTCGGTTCTTGGCACATGATCTTCATGTGTCTGGTGGGAATGCGATCAAGATGTGGCCACCTCTCCTGGACTCACTGTACCCATGTCTGCGACCAGTTACAGACCTTGCGATGAAGCTGTCACTCCTGTGCCAGCGTGCTTTTGCCAACAGGCTCCAGTGTTCACATCATCTCCACCACTTTGTTGAGTACTGGTGTGGCGCAGCCAACTTGACCAAGGAGATGATCAAAGCAGGCTTTGAAGGAGCTGGGTTCGACATCATCCATTCACATATGCACAGTTGTCTCGACACATGTGGCCTTCGTCTCTGGATGGATATGCTCATGAGCATATGTGAACATGGTCTTTGTTGGCTTGGACCACCTTGTTCTTCATTTGTCATATTATGTCTGGCGCAAAGCCAAAGGTATGGCTGGAACCAGTGGTGGGGAGACACCACGAGGACATTTGTCAGGACTGGCAATAGCCACATGCAGGTAGCAGCCATGATGTTCCTTGTGTCGTGTGTCATTGGCATCATGGTCTGCTTGGAGCAGCCGGACAACTCGTGTTTGCACAAGTGTCTTCCTATGAGGTCAGTGTTGTCATTTGTGAAGGCTCATCGTGTGAAGACTTATCTTGGAGCATTTGCTGGCCCCACTCAGAAGCCGCTGCAGATATGGACAAACAGAGTGTGCTTCAATCAACTGTCCAGAGATTGTCCAGCCAGGGAACAATTGTCAGGTGAGCAACTGGTGACTCGAAGTGAAGATGGCCGAAGTTTCACCGGGAGGAAGGACCTGCTAGAGGAGTCAGGTAGCTACACTCCACAATTTGGGTCAAGTGTTGCCCAGACTTTTGCATCGGAGTTTCTGCGGCTGCGTCATGTGTGAGTGACTTTTGTCTCACACTTGTGCCAGCTGCCTGCATGCAGTGTGTTGCACTACATGGAGAACTTCTGTCTCCCCAATCTTTGGCAACCACTGCAAATTAGATTTTCAACACATGTCAAGCATCATGTGTTTGATCTCATCATAGGGTTCTTGGGAGTTGTCCTTGCAGGCGAAACTCAGGAATTTGTTTGATACTTGTGTTTGTAAATGCTACGAGAATATGCCAAATCTTAGATAACATAATTCCAACTCCACTTGCTTCACCTGAGGTTGGATGGCAATGTTTCGAGGCCAGGGTATACAGACACATGTTCACTTGTGCTTACTTGTGACAATTGACACAAAACTTTGACATATGTCCTCTCTTTTGCTCTTGCCAGGAGGAAAGCATATCAATAAAATATAATAAAATTATATAAACATATAAAAATTAAAAGAAAAATATATCATGTATTATTGAATTAACTATAATTTCTGGAGTTTTGTTTTACGTAAACCATCGTTTGGAATGCGTTGTCCTTGCGATATGCAAAACGTGAAGAGAGAAGAAAAAAAACATGTTTTTTTTCTGGCAAAGTTTGTGGTACTCCATCCATTGTGTTCCACCGTGATACTTGGCGTGCAATCTTTAAGAAAAATAAGGAAAAAAAAAGGAAACACATGGAAAACCCAGGAAAACAAAAGGCAACAGCGTTGCAGTATCAACTCTATTTTTGTTTTATTTCTGTCTTCAATAACCCAAACCTACCTTATAGAGGACCCAGGGAACCAAGGTAGCACATTACGTTTGGTGATATAGTGAAGGATCTACCAATATCTATCAATGGATTAGTGAAATATCACAATCAACAAATCTATCAATGGATTATGATAGTTGATTATTAATCATAAATATCTCATATACTAGTGAATTAATGGATTATCTATCAATGGATTATCATTCTGGATCATGATCGATCAAGAAATCTACCAATGGATAAGTGAAATATCTACCAATTATAGTTCATAGTAAACACTATAGTATGATATCCCCCAATAAAACATATTGGTAGATACTTTAAAAAATGCTAAATAATATCCTCCAATTATAGTGATAGTATTTGCCAATATTATAATTTACCAATGATAATCCTATGTTATCCTCCAATAAAACTCATGCTACTATGGAAATTTGTAAATATTGGGATTATTTGTTTCCTCCAATATCATCCTTAGTAAACCAATATTGGGATAATTCATCCAATATTACTATCCAATGTTACTATAGATACTATGTTATCCTCATAATATGTCCAACGTTTCCATAGTAAATATCTTATCCTCCAATTCCCATAGTAAAACATATTGGTGGATACTAAAAAAATGGTAAGTAGTATCCTCCAATTATAGTTATGGTATTTACCAATTTCCATAGTAGCATTTTTTCCCAATCCCTCCGCTCCAGGTGCCGGTGAGGGTCATCCCCGAGGCGGAGGCCGAAGGCATCCGCGAGCCCGAGATGCCGGAACCCGAGCCGCCCGGAACGACGGAACGACGGAACGGCCCAGGGGGATGGGGGATGAAAAGCATGGGAAAATCCGGGGATTTACCTGATTTACCCTCTGGAAAGCTCAGATAACTATGGAAAATCACCATGTTAACAGGTAAATCAACGATTTCAATGGGCCATGTTCAATAGCTATGTCAGCCATGTTAGATTACCAGAGGGTAGGGCCTAAAGCGTTGAAACAGAATTGGAAATCGCAAGTTTAATGGCAGAATCAGGGGAAAAGACATTGAAAATAAAGCTTAGAAGTATGGTAAGCAGATAAAGAACTACTCTAATTCATGGTGAAAACACAAGAAAATATATCAGGGTTTGAGCCAGAGTAGCCAGAAAAATGATGGGCTTCAAAAATCGTCCTTTTGGGATACATAATTTTAAAAAACATGTAGGGATTTGTTACTTGGTTTGTTGTTTGGGATTCTACTAGATGTTTCATGGAGGTTCTCCCGAACCAAAATGGGGAAACCCAGTTTGGGAAAGTCACCTCAGCAGTTTTTGGGTGATCACTGCAATGACAACCCAACAAGGTCTTTTGGGGTGATCATGATCAGCCCTGGCTGCTTTCTTAGACCTTTATTCTTTGGCTATATCCAGGTATTTATTGGAGATTAAAAAAAAAAAGGATAAAAACTCCCAAAGCTACTTTCTTAGTAGACCACCTTCTCTGGCTATGTCTATGTTTTTCTGGAATAAAACCTCCATGTGTCTCCATGTTTTATGTGTGAACTTCCCAAAAAAATGGGCGCCTCAGCCTGCTTTGGGATGGAACTGCCGTGTCATCCAGGTTCCAAATCGAGCTACCTGGATCCGTGGCCAAGTTGCGCAACGTCTTGGTGCCTCGGACCTGGTGACCCCCATACTCCATCGTACATACATATATAGTTATATATTTACACATATAACTATATAATTATGTATATGATTATATATATATATCTCAGTGTATTTAAACTCATTTCCAACATTTCTAATGTTGCTCAAATCCCCTATTGTTCGTTGATATTTTCCAGCCCAAACTTCCCAGGACCGGATGAAGCAGGTGGGCGCCACGCTGGTAGCGGTGGAAGCCTCCAAAGAAGCTGGTGGTGCAGATCTGCCGGGAGGACTGGGGCCACTGGGGCCAGGGCCAACTATGGTGGAATTCTTGATCATAAACCATATTAATAATAGTTGATCATGAATAGTTATCAAGAATTATCATTAATGGTTAATGATATGTTTCTTCCTTATCAACTATTAGTTAACCACTAAGGTTAATAATAATAGTTGATATGGAATAATCATGGATAATGGTTAATAATAATTCATAGTTAACCATATAAATTCACCATATCTATTAAGCATATAAATCAACCATAGTTAACCATGATTAATAACCATCATTAACCAGTATAGTTAACCTTAATAATAGTCAACCATGATAACCATGATGGTCAACTAATATGGTTAATGATGGTTAATTATGGTTAATGACATTACCATATTAGTTGACCATTGTGGTTCATTATTCCACTATTAGTATACGTAGTTAAACCACTTTTTGATAGTCCATCATGTTTGTTGCTAACCACCATATTCACAGATCAACTATCTATTAACCATACTTAACCATCATTACCCTCTAGTAAACATACAAAAAACTATGGAAAATCACCATGCTATTAGTGGGTAAATCAACTATAAATTGCCATTTTCAATAGCTATGTTTGTTAACCATCATTAACCAGTATAAATCATCATAGAACATTACTAATCATCATTAACCATATGGTGGTTTCCTAAGTCATAGGGTACCCCCAAATCATCCATTTATAGATGGAATTGTCCATGAAATAAATCATTCAGTGTTTTTGGGGTATCCCCATTTGAGGAAACCTCCACAGGTCAATGAAATGATGAAATGCCTCTTGAACGATCTTAGAAACCCTGGGTTAGTATTGGTCATTTTGTGTACTGGATCTATTTTTGGTGGTATTCGGGAATTAGATGAAGTTGACACTCGGTGGCACTGATTTACATGTCAACTGCCAATGAAATGAGTTCTATGGGAATTGGAGATGTCATTGAAACCACTGGACTTAGGGTCTTTGGGAAAATGTTGTTGTTAAATGGGAGGTGCGTTAGGCATCCAAAGTTTGGGATTGAAGCTTAGGAAATTCATGTTTTGTCCCAAGAGTTAATTAAGGCTTCGATCAACAAAAATCAGGAATACACCCGGGATCACGGTGTTTTTTGACATCTCCAATTTTTTGGTGAAACCAATACTGTTGCTGTTCTTGGTTAAGTTAAAGTTAAACACTTTTTTATATAATCCCAAAATTGTAGCGATTTTTGGTTCAACCCAAAAAATCAGGCACACCCCAAAATCCACTGGTTTGAACCCTCATTTTCTCCCATTCACAGTGGCCCATCCGCCATGTTCAGGCACATCCCTATACCCCAGAATGTTCGAATGTTGGTCATTCATCCCAATATATCCTGGTATTTCCAATAAAATCGTTAATTTTGATGGTTAAATACCAGGATGTCTCCAAGAAACTGAGGGATGCAACCCAAGAAAATGGGATAGGAGTCAACATGAATCAGCTAAAAGTGGTATATTCAGCAACCATCACCAACTAAAATTGGGTTTGAAGCAACTTCACAAAACAAGATTGTGGTGGGAATAAACCTTCTTATATTGGTATATGTGGAACAACTATCCCAAAATTAAAATGGCCCAACTTGTCAGGCTAGTGAATTGTTACAAAACGCAGCCTGATGATAACATCCATCAACATGCATTCGCCATTTTTGTTATCCCATGATTGACCATTAATGGCGCATGTTATGTGGCTGAAATTCTAATGGTCAATGTGATATCATTGACATTCCTATATCCCATTGTATCCCATTATTTTATCAACATTCCTACCAAAAATCTGGGAAATGAATAGCCCGATAAACCACACATTCCTACATTTATGTATGACTGGTAGGAATAAACCGGATAAAATAAATACCTGGGTTTAGCCCGATAAACCACACCATGTCGCCAGGCAAGGCTTGGTTGAAGCTCACCGCCGAGTCGGAAGTGGTGCAGATCACCACGACGTCAGCTGGTGGATGATCCCACAATGAGTCATTGTTTGTTTAGATCTGTTTACATCATTGGAAAAAGTAAATGATTTATATATATGTGTGTGTGTGTACTTCGATGATTTTTAGATGATTAGGATGATAGGATGATTTAGATGGTCTAGATAGCTGTGAGTTTGGTGCCACCAAACTGATCCATTTACCACTTTGCCAGGTTGGAACCACAACATGCAGCTGCAGAACCACATTGAGCGTTCTCGACGCGGCCTCTTTGGCTTTTACGTGTCTTGCCTCTGGACAACGATTCCAGAGGGCCCTCTTTTGAGCCTAGCAATCGAAGCTACGCATGACAAAACAGATAGCACTCCTGCTTTGCATTTCGTGTTTGCACTTAGAGCGGCATAACACAACAAGATATCTTTCCATATCTTCGCATTGGTAGCGGAGCCGGCAAAGATCCGGCTCCAGCCCGCGCTGCCATGTCGACTTCTCCGGCGAGAAGAGCTGCTGGCGGCGGTGCTGGATCATCTCCTACCTCCCCAACCGAAACTTCTCCATATGTCAAGGACTCCTTCGTGCCGAGGTTTGACAATACCATCAGCGGCTACAAGGAGTGGCGGAAAAGGGTTCAACTGTATGCCCGTAGGCTTGAGCTGCAAGGTCGTTCAAAAGAAGTTGCCATGAATGTTTTGGCAGTACTTGAAGGTTCCAGTTGGACGCAATGTGAAGACATAGACCTCAAGGAACTGGAAGCCGAAAATGGCCTAGATGTGTTGCTGCGACGGTTGGATTCGAAATGGAAATATGATGAAAGGGTTGAGCTGGGTTCCATATTTGACACCTTCTTCTTCAAGGTTCAGCGAAAGCCCAACCAATCTCTTTTGGACTATGTGACTGATTTTCACCAAGCCCTACGTGATGTTCAGAGACTGAAGGTTGATCTTCCTGAGGAAATCACTGGATGGCTCATGTTGCGCAGAGCTGCCTTGACCAAGGACCAACAACACCTTGTGCAGTCCCAGGTTGGCAAAACGTTGACACTGGGAAACGTGGAGCAAAGCCTTTTTCTGGTTTTTGGTCAAGACTTCAAGCAATCCAATCATCAAAGTCACCGTGGGAAGTCATTCCCCAAAGGGAAGGGTCGTTCCAATGTGCACCATGCAGAAGATGATGAGCATGAGTTTCAAGATGTTTGGAATGAAACCTACATGGATACCTACTACGAAAATGATGATGATCAATACTATGAATGTGATGAAGAATGGGATGAAACATACTTTGGTTCACAAGTTGACTGGTCTCCCACTGCCTCTGAGTGGAATCCGAGCGAAGCTGCCATCGAAGACGAGGCGCTCTTCGATGTGGAGGAGTTCGATTCCGTCTACTCTGCATATGCCGATGCCAAGAGCCGACTTGCACAGTTGCGCCAAAGCCGTGGCTTCTACCCGGTTGTGGCGTTGGTGGACGGAAAGGGTTCCAGCATGTCTCAAGGTGGGGGTAGTTCAAAGTCTAAAGGCCAAAGTAAGAAGGGATCCAAACAATCACCATATCCACCAAAGGGAAAGGGTATCAAAGCTAGAGGAAAAGCCATAGCGGGGGATCTAGTTTGTTTGAGATGTGGCAAGACTGGCCACAAAGCTGCAAACTGCAAGAGCTCTTCTGCTGCTGCCTCTGGCACCTCCTCTCCTGCAAAGAAGCGTCCCATTGACCTTGACCCGATGGTGAACATGGTCTTCCAAGCTTCTGGCGATGAGTTCCATGAGATTGAGGCGAATCTGTGGTGCGTGCTGGTGGATGGGTGACAAAGGAGCCCGACATGTGCATTCAAGACCAAGGAGCCTCTTCTTTCCTTGCTGGCAGCGAGTACATCTTGCGATATCTGAAATGGTTGGAAGTTGCGGGATACCCCATGAACACCATCTCCTTCAAGAAGTGCAACAAATCTTTTCGTTTTGGCGGCGATGCTGATGGACATGCCCGCTGGATGGTTGAGTTGCCCGTGCACTTCGCCAACATTTCAGGTCGAATGCAGTGCTTCATCGTGTTCGGAGCCACCCCAATGTTGCTTGGACGCCCAGTTCTTGAACAACTTGGTGCTGTAGTGGATTTTGGAAGTGGCAAGATGCGCATCCTTGGTGGCCGATGGACCGAGATCGAACGTGGCAAGCAAGATGCGATGCTTCTGCGACTTGCTGCAACCTTCAACTCCATCGAGGACTTCGAGAACCCGCAGTTCGACCTCAGAGCCAAGGATGATGACCACGATGATGCATGCTCTTTGCAAGATTTTCTTCAAGATCTACGTGCTGCCGAGCGCTATGAGGAAATGATCTCCGAGGTCCAATTCACCGACGACGCCTCTGAGAATGAGTTCGTTGATGTTGAGACCTATGTGAATGTGGATGAGCAGATTCCTGAGGAGCACTTTCATGCCCATGAGCTGACTGAACGCACTCAATGTTCAATGTCGAAGACCTGGTCATGGATTCAGGGTCAACTGGTTGAAACGTCCAAGAAAGCAGCCCAACTTGCCTATGAAGCTCGATGCCAACCCCACCCACGAAAGAAGCTCATTTGGGAAGTCTACAGTGGCACTGGACTTTTAGGCGAACAAGCTGAACGCCTTGGTGCCGATGTGATGCGTTTTGGACTCAACAATGGATGGGACTTCTCCAAATTAGCACATCGAAAACGTTTGATGGAACTGGCCTATGAGCTTGAGCCGGATGAGATCTACATGTCTCCCAAGTGCACACTTTGGTCTCCCATGCAGGCCATTAACATGCGTTGTGAAGCTGATTGGGATGAACTTTGGGAGCGTCGTGACTTCGACCATGAGATCCATCTGAAGTTTTGCAAGAAGCTGTACTGGTTTCAGGTGAAACGTGGAGCTCATGCACACATTGAACATCCACACCGCAGTGCTGCCTGGGAAACACCAGCCTTTGCCAAACTTCCAGGTGAACGCACAACCTTTGATCAATGTGAATATGGCTCCACTACCACAGTTGATGATGATGAAGTACCAATCATGAAAACCACCTCCATTCAGACCACAAAACGTGCGATGTGTCGCATCATGTCCAAACGATGCTCAGGCAACCATCAACATGCCCGACTTGAAGGTGGAAGCCCTTGCAAGAAGGCTGAGAATTACCAATGCGAGCTTGCCTGGAATTTAGCTCGTGCCCTTCTTGAAGATGAAGGTTTGTCGGAACAGGCCTATGCTGTTCAACAAGACGCCGAAGCTCAAGAGCTGACTGGAATTCTTCGAAAACTTGGCACAAGGCATGGCTCTGAAGCGGTGCGCATTGCCTACCGCCTCCATCGAAACCTTGGGCATCCGAGAAAGGACACTTTGGTCCGCATGCTGCAGGCCAAGAATGGCGACCCAAAGGTCATCGCTGCAGCCGAAGCCCTTGAGTGCCCCTACTGCAACAAGTTTTCTTCCAGGAAACAATCAGCTCCAGCTCATGCCGAGCGTCCCATGGACTTCAATGAGCAGCTTCAGGCCGACACCCTGTGGTTTGATCTGAGCTCAGTTGAGCCTGATGCCCCTTCTGACAAAGCTTCCAAGCGGAAGATTGGCATGTTGGTCATGGTCGATTCTGCAACTCGCTTCATGGCTGTGCGAACCATTCCTGATGAATCAAGCAACTCCCTCATGAAAGCAGTTGAACGTGAATGGATTCGCTACTTTGGCCCTCCGAAGCAGCTGAGCGTTGATGAATGGTCTGGATGGGGCAGTGACGCTATGATGCAATGGTCTGGCGACCACGACATAGAGATGAAGATTTCCCCTGGGCAAAGTCATTCACGAACTTCAATTGTGGAGCGAAGACACCAACTCCTTCGCCAAGCACTCTCCATATTCATGACAGAAAATGGACTACGTGGCCTTGATGGACTTCACACGGCCTTGAACTGGACTGTGCCCACATTGAATCAATGCACTTTTGTGAATGGATTTACTCCTATGCAACTTGCCCTGGGAAAACAGCCAAATATGCCTGGACTCATCTCTGACGAGCGCACTGGTCCAATTCAACTTCAACAAACTGAACAAGATCGACTACGACGACGACTTGAACTCAAAGCAAGTGCCCAAAACGCATGTGCTGTTGCGGAGATTGACGTCAAACTTCGACGTGCTCTACTCCGACGCTTTTCAGGTGCTGATGAAGATCTACAGCCAGGCGAACGATGCCTTTATTGGCGAGAAGTTGGCAATCGATTCCACACGGTTCAGTGGAAAGGCCCTGCCACGGTCGTTGCTGTCCAACAAGACCCAGACACTGGCACCATTGACACCTACTGGATTGCCCACGGCACTGTGCTCATCCGTGCCGGACGTCAACATGTTCGACGACTTGTTGGCCAAGAAGGTCTTGTCAATGGAGCTCAACGTGCTGAACAAGCCATCGCTGGTCTCCGTCAACGTCGAGTTGTCCGAACAGCCGACTTGCGGCGCATCAACAAGCACACCTTGGAGGAGCTTGAGGGTGAGATCTCTGATGGAATTTTTGATGAGCCCTCTCCAAAGAAAGCCAAGACCAACCATCCTCCTGATCAAGGTGAGCAAGATGCCCCGGCCGCACGACCTGAATCAGTGCGATCATGTTCCTATGAGCCAACTGAACCCATCGATGATTTGCCAAAAGATCCTGCTGAAGATCCACCTCCTGTGGCTGATCCGTCTTCCGGTTTGGACTTACCGGATGAGTCAAGGCGCTTGGATTTGGATTTGCCCGACTCTGAAGAGCCACAATCCTCACAGCAAGCTGAAGCAGCAGCAGCACCCTCCAGCGGAGAGGCAGGTGCTGGACTTATGCCTGAACCTCTTCCGCAAGATGTTCCAATCCCTGATGGTGATGACAGTGAAGCTGATCAGCCCACCATTGCAGCTGACAACACCATCACCCAATCTTCAATGCCTGAGGCACCTCCACAACTTCCTGGACTTTCCTTTGCTGAACGCCGACGGCAACATGAAAGAAGTGAGACTTCATGGATGCGATCTCCATTGTGGCCACTGGTGCATGATCATCCTGATCCTCAAAGCCCTGGCAATTCAAAGCGTGCCAAGCATCATGAAGCGGTCAACATCGCTGTGGAGCTATTTCCGAATGGCTGTGAAGACTCAACCAACCTTCCAGCTGGATGGCACTATGATCCGAAAACCCATGAGATCTACCTTGGTTCCACAGCAGATTTTTGGAGCTTTGAAGATGGATTTTTGGTTAGAAACCATGTTTGGTCAAGGGATTGCAGTTTTCATACAACAGATTTTCCCTTGCCTGCCGAGAAGCTCCAGACCACAAATGGCCTGACAATGAGACGCAACAGCCGCATCATCCTGGTCAACGAGGAGCAGCCTGCCCCTGTGGGTGATGAACCATGGTTTGGAAAGACCTTGTACCCACTGACCAAAGATGCTGCAGCTGAGTTTGGCCAAAACTACGTTGGCGACCTGTCCAAGAAGTTCAACAACAAAACCATCCGAAGCCGTGGCCATATCTGGTCTGCCCAAGCTGCGCCCAAGAAGAAGAACGTCAAGGAGTCAGCTGACCTGAAGGAAAGCCGAATGAGTCTTGAAGACCGCCTGGCGTTCATCGAGGGCAAGAAAGCTGAGTTGGCCTCCATTTTTGAGAATCAAGTTTGGGAGATTGAGCTCCATCCTGAGAAGGTCGATTGGAACCGCGTGATGAAAGCACGGTTTGTGCTGAAGTGGTCTGCCGACAACAATGGCAACCCACGCGCAAAAGCACGTTTGGTTCTTCAAGGATTTTCTGATCCAGATCTACTACGAGGAGAGCTTGACACATCTTCCCCTACTTTGAGCCGGTCCTCACGGCAGATTCTCTTGGCCATTGCAACTTGCAAATCCTGGCTTATTTTCATTTCTGATGTGGCGACAGCCTTTCTTCAAGGCGATCCGCAGAAACGAATCTTGTGGGCCAGAATTCCCAAAGACGCTTGCCAGCTGATTGGTGTGCCAGCCGGTACCCTGATGCGACTTCTCAAACCCATTTACGGGCAAGCCGATGCTCCGAGAAGATGGTTTCAAGTTGCCCGCAGAAGATTGATTGCTGCAGGGTACCAACCACATCCACTAGATCAATGCCTTTATTGCCTTTTTCATGGTGATCAATTGGTTTCAATGATCGGCATTCATGTTGATGATCTCATCGGTGCTGGACTTGAATCCGATGAAGTCTACCAGAAGGCAAAACAGGCTCTTCATGAGAGTTTCAACTTCAAACATTGGACTGAAGGAAAAGAAACTGGTCAACTACAGTTTTGCGGTTGTGACCTTGAGGCTGATGGAAAAGGTGGCTGGTGGTTGCGCCAACAGGCGTACGTCCAAAAGATCAAACCTTTGACCTTGAGCGATTCAGATGAGGATCGTGAATTGACTGTCAAAGAACTGACAATGCTCCGTGGGCTTCTAGGAGCGCTTCAATGGCCAGCAACCCAGACTTCACCGCACCTCAGTGCAAGCGTGAGTCTTTTGTGTGGCGAAGTGAGCGCCGCAACAGTTTCCACAGCTACCCAAGCAAACAAGCTGCTGAGATTTGCCAAAGCCAACAGCGACGTTGGACTCCAATTTTCTGACCTTGGCCAGCTACATGAGCTATGCATGATAGCTTTGAGCGATGCAGCCTGGGGCGTTCGTAAGAACCATGAGTCCCAAGGCGGCTACTTTGTTTTGCTGATGAATGTGAAAGCCCTGCAAGGTCAATTGGACCAACCCTACGTTGTTTTGGACTGGCGAAGCTACAAACTCCCCAGAATCAGCCGCAGTAGCCTCAACTCTGAAGCACAAGCATGCGCTGGTGCAATGGATGCTCTTGAGTATCTCCTGATCTTCTGGCATGGATGTGTGACTCCTGGCTTTGAGTTGCGCCACTTGGACGTCCACGACATCCAAATGCAGTCAGCCTTGGTGGTCGACGCGAAGGCGCTCTATGATAGCCTGAAAGCTGAAGTTCCACAGATGCAAGGCGACCGAAGATCCAAGATTGAGGTCATGGTTGTGAAACAGAAAATGGATGAGATGAAAACGAAGCTGAAATGGATTTCATCAGAGACCCAACTGGCAGATGGTGTTACCAAAATTGCAGCACGGCAATTGCTTGCTGACCGCTTACGGTCCCATGTCTTTTCCCTGCACTCCGACCAGAGCTTCCAAGCAGCAAAGAAGAAAACTCTTGCTGAACGACAAGCTTCAGCTAGACGCAATGCGATTGGTCGATTGCAGAAAGGCATCGGTTTTGCAGTGCTGACAAATCAACTTGAGCCAGTTCGAGGTGATGATTTTGCAGAAGATTCTTTTTCATCCTACAACATCATTTTCATCTTCACATTCCTCACCATGTTTGTGGCGACAGTTTTTCTGGCATGGCAGTGTTTAGAAAGAATGACAAGGTCCCTGCCGAGACCTATGGCTGTACCTAGGTTTCAAACCTCAAGAATGCTCTGGTCACTGATGAGACCTTTTGCGTTCCTATGGAATCAACAAGCTGCGCTGGAAGATGTATCAACCCAAACCGAAAGTGGACGTGATCAAACTATTCACCTTTTGAACTGCAGAGTTCAGATGCTGCAACAGCAGGTGAACGACAAAGACGAAAGAATCCAAGATCTTGAAAGTTTGGTTCACTACTACGAGCAAGATGTGACATCAACCTCTTTGTTTGTGAGCCGAACTGGAGCACGATACCATTTGCATCGTGATTGTCGAGCGCTTTTACAAGCGAATCAAGCCGGCATACGAGATTTGAAATGCTGCAGCCAATGCATTCAGACGTTGCGTGACAACAGCAACCTGGGTGGACCGTGGTGAACTTTTCTTTCTTCTCCACCGGTGTGAGTTTGGTGCCACCAAACTGATCCATTTACCACTTTGCCAGGTTGGAACCACAACATGCAGCTGCAGAACCACATTGGGCGTTCTCGACGCGGCCTCTTTGGCTTTTACGTGTCTTGCCTCTGGACAACGATTCCAGAGGGCCCTCTTTTGAGCCTAGCAATCGAAGCTACGCATGACAAAACAGATAGCACTCCTGCTTTGCATTTCGTGTTTGCACTTAGAGCGGCATAACACAACAAGATATCTTTCCATATCTTCGCAATAGCTTAAATGATTTGGATGGAATCCGTCTATTTTTCTCCGGATTTTGGCAGCGGTTAGATTTAAGGAAAAGAGTAGACGGTTTGCGTGAGCTAAACTCTACTGAAAATCAGGCCAGAATCAATTCCAAATGGATACCAGTCACAATGATCAACTGCCAAAATTGAGGGTTTTACGAGAACATGACCAATCTTGTCCCGTCCATTGCTGCCCCAATGTTGACCATGGTCATCAGGTTTCCATCGCTGAACTTGGTGACGGAAGGCAGCTTCGCGTTGTCCGGAAACTGATGCGCCGTTTCCCTTGGGGAACCGTCGACGTATTGGGGTCATAGGGGTCATAGGAGTACCCCCAGTTCTGGTTTGGTTTGGTTGACAACAGTTGATAACCCCATGTTTGTGATGTGAAGGTTTCCAATCCATGGGGGTACCCCTAGTTATCATCCATTGATGGATTTTCAATTATAAACCATCCGGCTATCTGGGTACCAGCATTTTAAGAAACCCCCATATGAGGTTGACACGTTGACACTGGAAACCTCGATTTGGATTGGTGAAATCGAAGTGTTTCAGGGTCAAATTATGTCAAATCACATGATTTCGTCATGAGACTTCCATTCTTTCTCGGATGATAACCAGCCACTGAGTACTTTTCTTGGCTGGTTAAATCCCTAAACTTTGGCGAAATTGACCTTCTTGCAGTTCAACCGTCCTTTCTTTGTTGGTGGATCTAGTCCCAGCTGGGAGTTCAGGCAAAAATGAGCCGGCGCCGGAGCGCTCCGTGGCATTACAGCTGTCTCTGAAGCGCTTGGCGGAAGTGATGTCGGCCGTGAATCAGTGGCTACGACGAGAATTTGGGGTGAGTGAAGCCATCGAAAATTGAGGGGCTTCCCCATATTTCAGCATCAAAAATGATGGTTCAACCATCAAAAAGTGAGGATTGAACCATCGAAAATTGAGGATATAAGTGATATAACCATCAAGAATTATGGTTTGGGAATCAAGAATTGGGATTTTGCCATCAAAAATGGTAGTTCAACCAACAAAAGTTGCGATTTAGCAACGAAACATCCTGCTTTAAGGGGATGATGGATAGGAACTGTGCTTAATCAATGCTGAGTCAATGGATTGTTATACTTCAGGGTCACTGGATCCGAAGTAGGATGATCAACCTGGTATGTGACATGAGCCACAAATCTAGTCGATATATTTGGATATGGTCAGAGTTTGGATGGCAAGCAATCCCCAAGACAGTTGGACAGCTGTGTCTATGGTTCACGACCATGGATCATCGAACACATTTGAGGGCCATTAAAAAAGGCACCTACAGGGACAGCGACGCAGTAATTCTGCTGTGGAAATTGCTCACACTCTCTATCCGGTCAAGGTTGCAAGCAGACTCCAACTCCCAAAAATGGATGCGCTGGGAATTTTTAGGTTTACCCTGTAATTTTTCGAGGTAGACACCCATGGGTTTCTGTTTCCACCAAACCAACCCCATTCCCAGATCCCAACCCAGGTTGAGTGCAGATACGCACATAGCTTGCATCATCGAGGGGAAGGCAACAGGGCCGGTGAGCTATCTGGGTCTGTACAAATACATAGGATACCACAGTCTATGGCAATTCCAATGGGAAATATGATGATAAACCATGAGATATGGGTTTGTCTGAAAATAGGGCATATTCCCAAACAAATAGCCATTTAATAGGGATAATGATCAGCAAAACCATGGGGTTTAGGGGTACACGACATTTTCAGACACACCCATATGTGTTTTCTGACAAAGCCATACTTCAGCAAAGAATCTGATACCCCATGGCAGAGTCGCCAGGCGTTGGTGCTCTATGCGCTGTTGCCGTCCGGCTTGGGGTCGCTGATTTCCTACACACCCGTTGTAGAAGCATAGCAGAGCCGGAAAAAAAGTCGCGCCGGTCTAGAGTGGTTTGGAAGCCTCAGTTCGGGATGGTACCAGATGTAGTCCTGAGCCAGTTTCCAACCATGTACTTCCACAATCTTAAGGGATTTTTCCCAGTGTTTTGGAATGTCCGTGACCATACGCAAACGTTGTATCATAGCTCTCAGGATTTAGAAGCCGTTCCTGGCTGTGAATCGACATTCACAGATAGCTTGTTTTTTTGCCCTGTTAGTTTGATGCGATTGAGTTTTCTATTTTGTGGTTCTCCCTGCTACCTACCTGGGAGGACGACTCCAAAATGACTAGTTTTTTGATGAGATCAAGCCACCAACCAGAGACTTGTTCCTTGCTATTCTGTTTTTCTGATGTTCGGCCATTTTTGCCAAACTCCTCAACTGTTTTTCCAAACGTCCACTCTTTTTTGGCCACGAGTCGTGGCAAACGCACTTAGGATTTGCCACGGCCGAAAACGTTTTGAGGCAGCAACTCTGGCAGGGCAGGTGTGAAACTATGCGAATATCAGCCACAAAAGTTGGGGAGGATTCCTCCGTCATCCAAGTAGGGTAGCTATCTAATACATGCAGGGGCAACACTTTGTCAGATGGCACAAGCTGGTAACGCGATCTTCAAAAGCGGTAAATCATCTACAAACGGACTGTTTTCCATAGCTATGTCAGTTTACTGGAGGGTACATTTGGGTAAACGATTACAGTCTTGTTAGCTCAGGGTAAATGGATTCGTAATGTTGGTAAAGCAATCATAAACCATACCCAAATGTACCATGTTTATGAGTGGTATGCCCCATCGAAATATGGGTGGTTTATATTATTGTGTTATTGACAGTAGTAACCACCATTGTTAATCACTGTTATTAATAATTATCCATCATTCACCATTATTAATCATTATCAGTCAACATTAATCCCATTAAACTTCCATTATTAACTATCATCATTAACCATTATTATTTACTAAAATTAACCAACAAGCAGAAGAACATCCCATTATATCCCCTATTATCCTATGATATTCCATATTATCATATAAAAAATAGATCCACAACTCATCTGCGCAGGGTCTATGAGAAAGCTGCCAAGAAGCAGATCGAGATCATCGACCGACTACAGGCAACGTTCATGCAACTCATAGTTGGTGGTTTCAGTCATCAAACATGGTGACTTAATACATGCCAAACGGAATAAAGTGGGCAATATAAGCAGTATAGTGCTGGTTGGTGGTTTCAAACATGTCTTATTTTCGACCATAGTGGGATGATGATCCCCAATGACGATCATGGTTGAAAATTGCTCAGTCTTTATGTTCCATCCCAAAAAGTGTGATGTTATTTTTGGGGGTTACCACCGCAACCGATGCCCTTTTCCAGGCCACCTGCGTGCAAGAGGGTCGCTCAGCTGCATGCCATCTTTGAGATATTCCACATATTATTTGGACATGAGTGGATCTAATTCAGCTTAAAGGGGGTACTACAGTAGTACCCTCATTGTAGGAAACCTCCATATTGCTACATATTGGTATTGAAAAAGCAGGCCTCTCTTGAGTTGTGGGTGGCCTTGCGACAGCTTGTGCAAAAACAGATCAGAACAGATTCACCAGACCCTGGCGGGAAATCGGAACAGGTTATTGCGTTTTATTCAACCAATTGATGGATTAAAATGATCATATACTATATCTATATAGATTAGACAGCTAGACAGATAGATAGATTGGATGGACGGATAGATAGATTGATTGATTGATTGGTTGATTGATTAGATTGATTGATTGATTGATAGATAGATAGATGTGGATATCAAAATTTTGGGTAGATGTTACATTCGCAGGAAGATATTTCATTGGTTGTTGGACTTGGATGTGAGAGATCCCGTTGGTATGTGCTTACTAAACATAGTTAGTGGACCTCCATGTTTCAATGGGATGTTTGCCCATTATGATACAAATCCAAGGATTCCTGGGCTGTTTGTTTCCAAGGCAAAGGATGTGGAGAGGGCGGTTTGTTCAACAACATCAAGGTGCCATTGAGATTCTGGTGCTCTCCTTGCTAGGATTTTCTTTTTTAAGCTTTGAAAGAAATGTATTTCCTGGGAATGTCTGGAGTACTTGCCTTCCCCCAATCAAACATGATAACCGAAAGTACCTTGATTGTTATTTTATTTGAGGAAAAACATGTGTTAATGTGAGATTGTCCATTGCCAGGTCAGCTTACGAGAGGGTATCCCTCGATTTGAGGCTGTTCATGTGTTGGTTCTGTCAAGCTCCATGATATGCCTTCTCAGTGAAGTGCGCAGTCTTTGGCGGTCACAGTGTTTTTCAACGAATGTCTGCGCAATTCTATGCCTATCCTTGGTACTGTCAATATCAAAAACAATCCTAGTTGGGTATGGGTTTTAAATTGATGAAATCGAATGGTTCAATACCCAGCAAACTCCATGGTTTCTCTGGGCTTTGCCCAGTTGGGCTGAATTTGGGTTGACTACATCCTCTTCCCTATTCGTATTTAAGATTTATATCATTGTTGCTATTATGAATTCATTATTGCTATTATTATTTCTGCCAATTTCATTATTCAAAAGAAAACTACGCATGGTAAAAGTTGTGGCTCAGGGTAACTCATACTGTCACTTGCATGGAATCCAATTGACCCCACACAACATTACGCAACATGACATTCCCAGCACAATCAATTGTCATCATAAATGTCTACGTACAATCATACAGTATGTCTTAACACAATTGGGCATATATTGATTGTAAATATGTAGGCCATTTTGCAACCCATAGATGCTGCCCCTGGTTTGTATCCACCATCCCCTTGCCGTGGGCAGAACTTCTTCAAGAAGCTTTTCCATCGATGAGCGCCGACAGCTGCGTGGAAAAAAAACGCGTCCGCACTGGACAAATCATTCACAAAATTATGGGCGGGTATATGGGAATCATTCCAAAAAAAATGCCAGCAAGTTTGATGTAAATTGCATTCAGCAATGACTATTGACTATTTTTATATTTTTTCACTGAAACTTTGAGATCCCCGAGCCATTTATTCCGCAGCAGATTGCGGATGGTGTTTTCGCAAGCTCCAAAGCAACCAATCTGGCTTTGGGTACCGCTATCGTGGTGGAAAATCTTCCATTTATATCCATTTAATCCCGTTCACAGATGATTTTATCATATTTTATTAGTAGATGTGTCCATTGACAGACTACCAAAGCAGACCCTTCGTTGAAATTCACCAATCATCCGATGTCCACGACTTCGAGCCAATGGTTGGTTCATCGGTAGCTTGATTGGATACGGCAAACTGTCAGATCAAAGCTCGGGAACCATGTTTGATTATTGAAAAATGGGTCACTTTCCGTTGGCAAGTTGCAATCAATATGTCATTGATATCTTAAAGTCACTATGTCAATATGTTCATAATATGACTAATAACTGGGTTTTTCCGTACTTATAACATGTAAGAACCATCAGAATAAGAACAATCATGATGGTACAAGTTTGAGTCATCCCTGATTGGCGCCATCACCGTAGGAGTCCAATCCTTCGGCTCCCTCGAAACTCCGGGCAATGAAGCAGGAGGTCGGCAACACCAAAGTGGAGATCCAACATGATCCAACCACCAAATCCTTGGAGCAAAAACAGTGGTTTTTTTCACAGAAATGGAAGAAAAGTGGGGATATCAATCAGCACCAAATGGGTGGGATATTTAACAGACAGTTGGATTCAATGGAGATTGAAGCAGCAAATCAGGGATTCGACCACCAAATCATGGCGATCAATGTGGGGTTAAGCAGATAATGTGGGTAAAACAGCGGGGATTCATGGTTGGTGGTGTCAAATATGTTCATTTTTTCGTCCTGGATGGTGCACAGGGTGGTACGAACCCAATTTGACCTGATGGGGTGACAAAAACTCCCAACAAAAACAGGGGTTGAAATTGGGTTGGTCACAGAAGAAGAACTGCTTGGAGATAAAAATCAGGGTGATTGTGCGGACATCACATGACAAGAATTCTGATACCAGCGGCAAAGATGGGTATATCAGGGACCCCAAAGGTAATGTGCCCAATCATGAGAGGGGTGAATGGACTTGAAAGTAGGCCATGAAGTACAGATTGGAAGTCACTCGTGGAAACAAGACCCTCTTAGTACTCTTAGTAGACAAAGATCGCAGGGGAAAAGCAGGTGCTGAGTTTCATCGCCGATGAGATTTTCCAGTGATCCTTTAGTCAGAATTGCTTCAACTTTGGCAACTGAGCGATTGTCAACTGCTAGAAAGAACCGTTACCAGTAGTACCGCACAAGGCGGTGGCGGAAGTTTCAAAAATAGGAAACCTATAGGAGAGATTGGTTGTTGTGAATCAGGGATGGCAGAGCGAATCCACTGATGGACCGAAAGGTGCTTGAGGTCTCCTCTCTTTCTCTCTCTTTCTCTGACTATCTACCCACCTACCAACCTATCTTCTATGTATCTATCTATCGATCTATCTCTCTCTCTCTTTCATCTAATTACCTATCTATCTATCTATCTATCTATCTCTCTCTCTCTCTCTCTCCCCCCCTCTCTCTCTTTCATCTAATTACCTGTCTATCTATCTATCTATCTATCCATCCATCCATCCATCGATCTATCTATCTATTTATCTATCTAATCTATCTCTCTCTCTCTCTTTCATCTGTCGATCTGTCTAGCTGTCGGCCTGTCTATCCATCTATCTATCTATCTGTCTGTCTGTCTGTCTGTCTGTCTGTCTATCTGTCGACCTGTCTATCTGTGGTGCAGTGTCATTCAGTGTAATGTAGTGTAGTGTAATCTAGTGTTCTGTAGTGTAGTGTAGTTGAGCGTAGTGTAGTGTAGTGTAATGTAACTTAGTGTAGTGGAGTGTAGTGGAGTGTAGTTGTGCATTCGTAGTTGTAGTTGTAGTGTAGTGTAATGTAGTGAAGTGTAGTGGAAGGTAGTGTAGTGTAATGTAGTGT